AATATAATAATTTATACTGATTCTTGTGATGAAATCAATACAATGTTTTAATGTCTTGTTATCTAATAATTAATATATAATAATAATAATATTAGTTTTAAAATAAATAAATTCAATACAGTAATCAATATATTTGTATCTGATTATCCTACGATACATACATAGCATATACTATGTATTATATGATAACAGCCCCTCTTATATATTGTGCATTTAGATAAAAAAATCGTATGTATTAATCGAATGTTACGATCTATCTGTGTATACAATTCCATTCAAATTCGATTATTTGTTTAAGCGTGACTGAGCTACAAACATACAAACGTCTTTACAAATTTTTTCATCTAAAGTTTTATTTATTTAACTTTAGTACATGTAGATAACTATAAAAGTTACTACGTAAATAAATATAAATATAATATCGTGTTATCTGTATTTCAACCTTAAATAGGAATAATCGATAAGAATAATATTATTAGAATTTTCATTTAATATTTCTTTCAATATTAGATCTATTGTATTTTTCCCATTCGAAAAAGTAAACTCCGTTTGTAATTTTTCATGTAGATAGGTATTTGGTAGAAGTTTCTCTCGGAATATCGCAGACATTATCTTAAAAATCAAGTCACGTGTTGGCCTCGCAAGCGTGAAGGTACTTTTTCGCGATTGGTTGCAGATCCATGGATGAGATATGAAACCGGGGATGAAAAAATTGAACAGTTTAACTTGTAGTTCCCAAGGGAGGACAGTGATAATATATATATATCGTACGGTAAATGATTGTAGTAATGCCAATACTCAATGGATTAATAAAAAGATATTTTCAATTTCCTCTTTTTCAATATGCCGTTGCAATATTTCGATTTAATGCGCTATTTATTTTTATTTTGTTTCCTTCAATTCGATATTTATTTGTCATGATGTTATTATGTATTAGAAGTACATATAAGCTTGTTTTACGTTGGTAATGGCATACTGATTAAGTTAAAAATAATATATTATTATATCTGGCTGTACATCTGCTATTAAAATATTAAGCAATAATTTAATGATGTGAAGAAAAATAATGATAATCACGCTCCAAACCATTTTTTCATACCATGAATTTATCTATAAAGAGAATTCGAAAACAAGAAGGTTTTCAAATTCGTCTGAAATTATTTTTATGGCTATATTACGCGATTATATGTCGCTAATTCTAAACCGATTATCGAAATTCTCTTTGCAGTTGGTAGCGTTTACTGTGGTGTTATTTCTATAATAATTTTATGATAACTCAAGCTAGTCAAACAAAAAACTGCTCGCTGTGAGCAACATCTACTTGTAGACGCGCTATACCTCGTTCTAAATTTGAATACCACTATATTTAATATATTTTGTCTAGCAAACATATCGTCATTCATTTCTATGTATGTGTATACAATTGAAATAGCTTTCTGTGAAACAAAATGATGTCTGTCATTTTTATTTATACGTTATAAATTATTAAATTAATCATTTTCTGACCCTTATTTTACGTTATTTTTTTATTCAACCGATTTAACTTGACAACGTGAATACCTATTCAATAGATTTATATCCTTTGTCAGTCCTTTGTCTCGATAATCTCTGTTATTTTATGGTAATGGTATAAGTGGCGGGGAGGATATTGGAATATGTTACCTACATACGAATCCGCATAATACTATGAAAAAGGGCGTGTGACGCTCTCGTTTATTTCTATGACTACAGAATTGTACCTACTTCAAATTGTTGCAATATATATACATATATAATATTATATAAATTGAAAATAGGAAATAATAAATCTATAATTTGTATTATTATTTTATAATATAATATTAAAAATATTGAAAAAATATCTTATCTATTACAAAATTCACTATATTGTAAAGGTAAGTAGTTTATTACTTAATTATAAACTTTATTTCGTCTTGAATCGTCGAAATAGCAAATAAAAAGTGGTTTTTTTTATACAACTTAGAATAGCAAACGAGCTGACGGCCCACCTGATGGAAAGTGGTAACCGTCGCCTATAGACATGAGCAGTACCATAGACATAACAGTGTAATAGTAATTTAGTATTCAGTTAGTATTTTGGGAAAACAGGATTAAACTTTAAATTTTTCATATATTAATTTGTTAATATAACTTTTCTAATCAAGAATGAAAAACCATTTGAAGAGACTGTGAGCTCTGGAAAAATTTTAATATAATAAATAAATTGAAAACAATTTCTATCAGAATATATGTCAGAAAGTTACGATATATATCTTCTTTATAATGTATAATAATATGTAATGTATATATTATTGATTTATTTCAAGCCATTACGAACTTCTATCGTTCAAGTCAATGTCGAAACTCTAACTTTTCACGCGGCAACCTTTTGTTTACTTCTCAATATGATTAGATACTTTCACCGTAACGTTGATGTTCGAGTATTTGAATAAACAATGAGTTTCTTTCAGTTCCAAAGGTCAGAAACATAAAAAAATTTGTAATTATTGAATAGCAGTTACACTGCGATACTATTTTGAATTCTTATTGACTATTTATTGACACATTGAATATTTATTGACACTATCGTTTCCACAGATCTGTGACGAAATCTTTTTATACTATAGCAATCTTGATAACGCTCAATTTTTATTTTTCAACATTATTTTTATATTTTTAAAATGATCCAACTACAAAAAGTACTTACCAATTTTACGACTAACCTTGTATCTACTCCATATGTTGTATTATTAATTATTTTCCCATAGATAAGTCAATGTGGTATTTGTTATTTGTCATTACATTGGAAAATTAAAAAAAGAATAATTACTTATCATTATTTAATGTACATACATTTGTGACATAAATATAATTCGAAGCACGTATTCCCTCATTCTTAACATAGTAAATTATGTTCTCCATTCTTCACGCAAGTACTGATCAAACAATACACAGGAATGCTCTTTACAGAAAACAAAGCAATATTTCTTTTTCTTTAACCGCATTTGACCACAATTAATGTTACATCGACTTTGTGCATTGACCGACTTGTGTACAGCTAGGTTAGTACTGGGCATTAATTACCCAAATACCCACCAGTGGGTGTCTACGCTCAGTGCTCTCCGCCATCAATAAAACAGTATTCACGGGGCCGTCGCATGCAAGCTAATTTTCATACCAAACGAGCGGGTGCATTATTAAAATGTGCTCTGACGTGACAACCCTCCCGGCCAAGCATTTAAACTTGACTCGGTAACTGAACGGTTAAGTATTTAGAGTGTTTTCCACATCGGACCAGCTGTTATGTTGCTACGTATTAGATTTTCACATTATAACTTTCAAGGCGTAAATTTGTTACGCAACTTTGTCGAGCTGCGCGTATAAATCAACAAAATAATATCAGAGATTTTATACAACGATATTGATATTTTTCTACGTAAAAGATATTTTATAATAATGCCTACTTGTTTTTCGTCGCGATAATTGAGCAAAAGCTGTTTGCAGCTTTGCGCGTATGAACTAGATTACAAAGTTAATCAAAAATACGGACCACCTTTACAAATGCATTCAGCTGTTTGAGAAAAATTAATATAAATAATAAACTAAATATGATTAGAAACTTTTATATTTATAATATTGTAAAGATTTTGTTATATTTTTTAACTAGGTATCTAGTGTTAATATTTGGATGTCAGCTTTTTGGGATTTCTTTTTTTTTAATTAAATATCTGGTAAGCACGGATAATTAGTTAATATTTTACAGGCACAAATATACCTTTTATATTCAAGTATATAAAGTACCCCAAAATAACTTCATAATTAATAAATATACAGTAAAAATGCACACAGAAAAAATGCACAATTGAAAACTTTTTGAAAATTATTTAAAAACGATATTTACAGTTTCAATTTTATAATGAGTGTCCTTATTCGTAACGTGTTTGTGCCATCCATCTGGCGCATTTTCAGCCAGCCTGAACGAGCAGGTGTCAAAACTAAGAGGCGTTAGGCTAATGTATGCAGATTGCGTCTTTCGCCACTCGGCTGAGATGCAACTCTGCAGTACACTATACCTTGCATTACCACATTAGCTTCACTTTGTTTAATGGCCGGGCACAGCTCTAGCGTTTTATATATTAAGTATGCTCTTACTACGCGGTACATTTTCATGTTTATGGCATTTGATTTTGTATCTTTACTAATTATACCTGCGTCTTCGTCCGCATAATGGGATTATATCAATTGATCGGATCTTATTGCCTGAGCAGAATAAAAATAGACAATTAAAGGTAATTCCCTTATGTATATACTCGTACAGTGAGGAAAATATGTAATAACAAGAAATAGAAGTCCCGCTCCTAGCAATATTATGTCAACCTCCATGCAGTCTCCCTTAAAACTGTAATAGTCAATTCCCGGAGAATTCATCACGACAGGCCAACGTGACTTCGTCCTTACCTATCGCTGCTCACCAGTACCACGCAAACGTAAATTAATAACACAGACTTAATTACCATTCCATTTCTGTTTTCCATACAAAATTCTATGTGTTTTAAATATTAGCAAAAATTTTGTACAAATGTAGCCAAATTGATTTATTGATTTGAATAAAAAAAAAGAAGCTATTAATTCCTCAATAATTTTGTATTTAAAAGAAACTTTTAGGTTACTATAACGTGTTTTATAAGCTACTAACAGGTACATTATGATAATTATAAACACCGTATTAAATATTTGTAACTATAAATGTTAAAATTGGATGATAATCGGGTACATGCTAATAATTTATTGTAACGTCCCCGTTACATTTTGGTCGGTGCTTCCGGCTACTGTTTTCATCGCACAAATGAATACCAGTTCATATTTTATTTTGTATTCGAATTTATGCTTGGTATCAAACTAGGTATATTTGTGTTCAATTTGTTTTTTAATTTACTTTACATTGTTTGCCTAGCACTAGTTTTTTTCAGTGCCTATGTCTATTTTTTTTTATCTATATAACTATATTTTTATTTCATTTGTCAGAAGACTTTATTTGCAAACAATATAAATAATAATATGAATACATTGATAAACTCACTGATAAAAAATACACTTCTTTCTGTTTACTTAGCTCTACTTACTGCACCTGTAGCCCTATTTTTTTCTCCTACAATTCTCTACCTATCCTCTCACTTTGGAAGCTTCTTTATTCGGATTCATCGTCCAAAATTCTTAGCTAAGAAAGTATATCCTTCCTCCAATTCAACGATTTCCTTCACTTAAATATTTTATTTTTACATATTCTTTATTGAACTTGTTAATGATAAGGCCGTTTTTAATATTATGTGCAAGGATGGACATTTTATGCTTTTCTTCTTTACTCAGTTATGAACATCTCCTTTAAAGAGTCTTCTTGCTCGCATCCTGTAACGAAGAAGAAATTGTAATTAATAAAGTTCACCAAACATTCCTTCCTATAAAAATATAAACAAAACCATGTAGATACCACAATGTACTGTAATGTACGTAGTACCTATGCTGATGTGACACCGCTCTTGTAATTTTTTAATGGGTGATAATGCAATAGTAACGTCACCCGCGCTATCGGCGCCGGTATATATACACCGGCGGGGCACTAGTGAGGGATGATAGGTGAGGATGTAGTAGGTCAGTTAGCCCATCGTGACGAATTCAACAAGAATTGAACGATGGTTTCCAGGGGGAACTACATGGAGGTTGACCTGATAGGGCATATTGCTAGCAATGTCAAACTCCATTGCTAACAATCTGTTTCCCCTCACCTCTCTTGTACTAGGAGGAAGAAAATAGTAATGGTTTCTAGCAGTCCCATTGCAAACAATATATTCTGTTAAATCGACTTCAACGCGGTTCTCCCTCATAGTTAAGTCCTAGTGAATCGGTCACGAAAGGTCAATTGACAGGGTAATTGCGACAGAATAGATAGGTGAGAATGAAGTCAAGAATGCATACCTCTATAGCGCATTTCCAGCATCTAATAATTAAATAGGTAGAGTAATACCATTTTCATTTTTTATAAAATTTCTCGTATGTTAAGACATAAACTTATATGACATCTTGACCAATTAATATTATGTACCTGTCTTGATAAACTATACACTTATTTGCACCAATTTAAGGCAAATGTGAATAAGCTATTCGTGGGCCCACAAGCTCTGTCTTAGACCACATTATGACTTTTCATCAGGTGAGAACGTGATCAATCGCAAGACCCTTCAATAGTAGAACAAAAAAAACACTTCGAGATTCTGTCAATTCCCGTATTTAATCAAGATTTTTGCAGTATTTGTTTGTATCGACTAAAATTCTGAGTAGTGACCGAACGGACAAAACGAGATAGCATGAACAAGGCGTGAAAACAACTGAAAACGAAATTGCGAGTCGATTGGAGTTCCCTTTTTTAAATATTCAAACAAGTGCCAGGGCACTTTTGAGACACTTTCGGGAGCCGAGACGGTGCGATGCATATTTAAAACAATGGGCTATAGAAGGTCGACGTAGTATCCGGCAGAAGGGGGTGTAAATACCAAAAGGTGTATGTTTCATAAATTATGATACTTATGTCTCCAAAGCAAAACCGGTTACGCTATTTTTATTTTCCTTCCTATATAATAATATGATTTTAGTTCAATTAATACAATAATTAGATTTTCTTAAACTTGAACTATGGTGATAAATAGTTATTACAATCATATATTGTATTTAATATGTATGGTATGTGAAAACTATTCTTGGCTCAACATAGATATAATTTGACTATGTATTGATTGTCATTCATCGGTATGTTTTCCTAAAAATAAATCTATAAATATCAAATAAAAGGATATAATGTGTTAATTGACATAATGAATTGTGGTGTCCAATACAGAAAACTCTCTGACTCTCTTTTTAAATATATTTTTATTAGTCCAACAATAATTGATTTTCATTAAATGAGGAGCGAACTAATAAGAGAGACTGTTGCTGTATAATTAGTTAGTTTACCCTGTGAAAATCTTATTTTGGTTTTAGCTGAGACTCGCTTAACATAAACTACCATGTTCTTAATTGACAATGGCTTTTATCTTAGTATAATGCGTTTCCATAGGATGATTCACTTATGAAGATCAGATTGAAAAAGTAGCTGCTATTTAGAAAAACAAATATTTTAATCAATACTTACATGACAGATAAAATGGCGTTTACGCATAAGTTTTGTACATCTACTTTGGCAACAGTATAAAGTGCAGAGTTCGCTGGCAATTTATATAAGGATAAATCCGAGCGCGCGTAAGACATCTGTCAGATAGCGGGACAGGAGCCGTCTTGTCTCGTCTCGGGAACAGGCCCGGTATTAGCTCGAGGTAAATTAGAATATTCCTAACATAAATAAAACGATAATTAACGTTTAAACAAACCGAGTTGAAGGGATAAATTTTGTCAACTTGTCTCATCGTGACTTTAAGGTTTGGTTTATTCGGGAAGTTGACTTGATATTTTAATTAGTGTTTCTCGCTCCTCTAAAATCTTTTTTATATATTTAACACTATTATGTGATTAAAAACAAATCACTGCTTCATACCTACATATTTCGTATGTATCACACAGTTTATTGTTATTGTTAATTTACGATTATCGCACTCACAAGATCGCATTGGTAATATTTATCATAAAAAATAATTTACACTTAATAAAATTGAGGATGAAAAATTACCATCTTATTTAATATGAGGTCAGATCTCATTTAAATAAGTAAACAAGACGGTTCAAGATGGTGCAAACATATTAATTTAGCGAAACCGTTTTCGGCATTGTTACATGTCTCATTTGCACAAAGGATGGCTTCGCGCCGCCCGCCGACTCGGCAATGCAATTTGTCCCGAGATAAATCCAGCCGCAGACAGATGTCGCCTGTAGCGTACTTAGTCAGCCTCCCATTTTTATTACTAAATACATTTTACACCTTTCATATTAAAGAATTAAATAAATATTTGAAGTAGGATAAAGGTCGAGGACTCTCTTTGTCATATATCCGTCTTAATCATCATCATCTTTCTACTACTGAGCACGGATCTCTCCTCAAATAAGAGAAGAATATTAGTCTCCCTCCTATTACCGCATTATTCAGGCCGCTTGATATACTTTAACTTTTCCTACACAGATATGCTGTGGTATATTCCCTTACTCGATTCTTAAGACATTGAAAATGAAAATAGTGTATTCTTACTACATACAGAACTTACTTTACTTCTATCTACTACACACAGACTGAGAACAAAAACAATCAAATTAATAACTTTCTTAATTGTGAATACATCTATAAAAAGAAACGCACTGTTTAGAATTTATAAATTATTACATATATGAATTTGTGTTCTTACATTATATGAATTTAATTGCAATTGTGGATTAAACATATAGTTAAGTAAATACTATATGAGTATATGCGACAATTGACTGGAACGAAACTACATTTAAACTAATATTATAAAAAGGAAGAATTTAATTGTTCATTTGTAATGGACAAATTCAAACACTACTCAAATGATTTTAAAAATTCTTTTACTTATAGAAATTCACATTATCAACATGTAACATAAACTGCTATGTTATTTTCAAAAATTTTGTCTACCCAAGCGAAACTGGGCCATATCGCTAGTAATATATAAAGGGCAACATGTTTTCTACTTTTAAATAAAAGCACTATGAAGAAAATATGTATATTTAATCCAACGTACAATAACTCTACGTTTATCTTTTTATGAGGTTCCATCCAACATGGGACTAACGTCCTAAATGCTGAAATATTTTCCAAAATCCTCTTGAACTTTTCCCAGTCAACGATAAATCTTTATCCAAATGGCCCACTTTCATTTCCCACCTTGATGAAATATGTTCTACGATTTTCATAATTTATCGGTACTACCTTGTTTTATAATTAAGATGACGTTTCCTTTGCCTCCCCTGCTACACGTATTATATAGAATGTACGATGTATTTTCATCTTCATCACATTTTCTACTTATCCACTGAAAAATAGCTCATTTTAATATAACGTGAAATGGCAAGCAAGTTGATGACTCGTATACTAGAAAGTGGTAACTGTCACGTATATCTAGATATAGAAAACACCATGTACATCACGATGTACATTGTACCGTTCATGGTGGTCTCATGGTTTGCCATTCCTGATAACTAACGTGTTATGCCTCTGTACTTTGTAATTTCACTGCCATAAAAGTGCATAACTTGTAGTAATAAACGTAAAACAATAATACTTATCTATACTTATAATAAATCTGTAGAGAGGTCAATTCTGTACATGAATTATATTTCCAAAGTAACTATCAGGGGGTAATTAGTGATCGATAATGCAGTTAATAAATTTTTTGTGAAATGCCAAAAATGCAATCTATAAAATTTTTGTCTGTCTGTATGTTCGTTATAGAAACAAAAACTACTCGACGGATTTTAACGAAACTTGGTACAATTATTCTACATACTCCTGGGCAGGTTATAGTATATTTTCATCACGCTACGATCAATAGGAGCAGAACAGTGAAGGGAAATGTTGGGTAAACAAGAGAAGTTACTCTGTTTTTAAGCTTCTGTCGCGTGTGCAGCCTTAATGGCCAATCCACCTGTGCGATGCCGGGACGGGCCGCTAGTTAATATATAATTGCGTGTAATTTAAAAAATAAAATTCTTAGTAATTAATAAATAGGCCAATCGAATAGTATAGCAACCACAGACTATAGGCCGCAGGCGTAGTACTATAGTCTACGAACGTAAATCTACGTTCGTTACTTAGACTTTCAAAATGTTATCGTGTATGACTAAAAACAATTAGATTTTTATTACATTATATTTTCTTATTAGAGCCTATTTAAAAAAATATATGTACAAGTAAAAACCAATTTGTTATATTTTATTTACCCAATTTTATCAAAGTAGCTACTATCACTAATAATATTTTGTTAATCTTTTCAGGTAATGAAACACGTGATATCGTTTGTTTGACAGCGGTTTGCGGTATGTTGTTGAAACATTAATCTCAAACACTCGTCACGTTAGTGCCACAAATAGCTTTACGGCCATTTTGCAGCACTTCAAAGGAGGTCATTAAATGTCGGAGGACGCATACGTCGGTATAAATTTCGATTTTCCAAACGTCAGACGCGCGACGCACACGGTCGCCACCTGGCAACTGTCAACATAATCTGCCAATTTGAATTCGGCGCCGCCTAATTGGTCGGCAGCTCGTCCCAAATATAAATATTAAAAGTTGAAAAAGGAAATCGCGTAACAAGGTAGTCTGGGGGTACAGTTGTGCGTAGTACGGGCGGGGGCTGAAAACCAATTGTATGTAGATTGAATTATTTTCGTCGAATACAAATACGGTGTCA